ACTCCAACCACAACTTAATCCCAAGCAATACTACTAAACAATCATTACATAAAAAGCCAAATTTAAACATTACATATTAGACCACTCAGTTTTTTTATGGGAAATTATTCTCACTTAATCTCATTTCCTGAGAAAAGGTAAAGTGGTCCAAATAAAATGGTGAGTCATTGTAAGTGGAATCTATTGGAAAGTCAGTTAGGAGGAACAATCTTCTCATGGTTTAGATTTCAGTGTTTCTTTTCATAATATGAATCAAATATGTTTTCATAATAACCTCATTAAAGCCAAAAATCACAAGGCAAGATTATAATAAGTGTTTTCAATTTTCAGAAAAATAGTGACTGCAAAATATTAATACGTCCTTGCCCTTTAACCACCACCATCCCCAACCTCCAGTTCCCAATCCCTATCCCCTCCTCAAGGAAACAAACCGTAGAGAGACAAGTAATGTTGTAGGAGATACTGAAAAACTAGTAAATTAAGGTAACCAAAAGAATTTTCTCCAAGAACCTATTATAAACATTCATATTAAGATAATCGGTTAATTCTTTGTCAATAACATATACTTCTTAAAATTACAGGCGCAGATTTTGCAAAACTTAAGATTCAATTATTTGTAAACTTTTTCTCTATTTTAAAAAAAATCATGGAAGTGCAATGCACATCAGAAAAGTATATATACTCTAAATATACAGCTCAAATTTTCACAGAACAAAAACAGCCAGCATGCACAGCAAGAACAGAACTTTACCAGCCTCTCAGAAGCCCTCCTGTAATAACTAACCAAGCCCACTTCCCACCACCAACGGTTACCCATTATTCTGACATCTAATGTGATAGATTAACAAGTTAATAGACATTCTCTTGTGTCGGACTTCTTTTATTCAATTAAGTCTGTGACATCCAGACATACTACAGCATATAGCTGGTGGTCATTCATTCTTGTTACTGTTTAGAATTCCAAAGGTGTGAGAACATACCACAATCTACCTTCTACCACTGATGAGTCTTTAGGTAATTTCCAGTTTTGACTATTATAAATACTGCTGTGAACATTTTTGTACACATTTTTTGGTGAACATATGAACACATTTCTATTGGGCATATACCTAGGAGTAAGACCTACACTAATCATAGAGTATGCATATATTCAAACTCAATTTACATTTCTATTAGCAGTGTTTGAAAGTTCTAGTTACTCTACATCCATGTCTTGGTTTCTCTTCTGTCTTTGGTTTTGACAGTTTGTACACAGAAAAAATAAATAAGCCAGCCATCAGGAAAACCCATTTTCCAAAAGAGAAACCAATACCCAAATCAATAAAGATGACTTTTTAGAAATAATCAAACTACATTTGATATGATACTGTGAAATAAGGTTGCTTGGAGAAAACTACCTGAACAGGTTTTTCTATGAAAAAAATCTAGGGGATTTCCCTCAACCTCAAACTTGAATGAACTACTCAAAGTAGCCATTTGTCTAAAATTAACAACACAGGAAACAAATGTTGGTGACGATGTGGAGAAAGGGGAACCCTCTTACACTGTTGGTGGGAATGCAAACTGGTGCAGCCACTCTGGAAAACAGTACAGAGGTGCCTCAAAAAGTTAAAAACAGAACTACCCTATGACCCAGCAACTGCACTACTAGATTTGAAGGGGTACACACACTCCAATATTTATAGCAGCATGATCAACAATAGCCAAATTAAGGAAAGAGCCCAGGTGTCTATCGACTGATGATGAACGGATAAAGAGATTGTGGTGTATATATACAATGAAAAAGAACAAAATCTTGTCATTTGCAACAACATGGATGGAACTAGAGTGTATTATGCTAAGCAAAATAAGTCCGAGAAAGAAAAATACCATATGATTTCACACATATATGGAACTTAGGAAACAAAACAAATGAATATATGGGAAGGGAAAAAAAAGAGAGAGAAAGAGGGAAGCAAACCAAAAGAGATGCTTAACAATAGAGAACAAACTAAGGGTTGATGGAAGGAGGTGTATGGGGGATGGGCTAGATGGGTGATGGGTAGTAAGGAGGGCACTTGTTCCGATGAGCACTGGGTGTTCAATGCAAGTGATGAAATCACTAAATTCTACTCTTGAAACAAATATTACACTGTATGTTAACTAACTAGAATTTAAGTAAAAATTTGGAAGAAAAAATCAAAACAAAACAAAACCAAAGTAGCCATCTATGAAAGGCTAATGTATTTCAAGCTATAGAAATACTGAATAACAGATAAGGACAAAATGGCTCTACTGTTATGCATCTATCAATTAATCCAAATAGGAAGGACTGTATCTAGTTCCAGGGCTACCACATTTAAGAAAAAACAATGCCAAATCAGAGAATATTCAAAGGGTGAGAATGGTAACAAATTTGGAAAGAGTTTTAGATGAGGAAAGGTTTAAAGTATTGAGATTCTGTACACTGGA